TCTTTCATAGGAGAATGAGAACATAAATTTACGGTAAGTAAATAATAATTTAATTTAAGGAGGATTAGTAAAAAGGATAAGCCGAGGTCAGTACATAGATGAACAAGGAAATCTCCTCAGCCAGATGCAAATTATGACTCCTGACTGCCTTGTTTATCTGACTCAGACCCATGGCGAGGAAGCTGGGACATTTCTGCGGTTTGATTGCATTCTGTATTTGCGTAAGTAATTAGAGAAGAAATCCAAAAGTCCTTAGGTATATGCTGTCTCTCTGAACAACTCCAAAATGAAAGATGATTATCATTAAATATCATTAAAATGCCATGGAAACTCTGTCTGGGTGGTAATTTGGTTCAAACAAGAAAAATATGGTTTTATAAACTGAAAATTATTTTAAAAGGACTCCAGACGTCCCCTTTCTTACTGCCTGTTTCATTTTCTTTTTTTCTTTCTTTTTTTTTCTTCAGGGTTTTGCTGTAGTTTTTTAAGAGTCTGGTCTCACTCTGTAGACCAGGCTGGCTTTGAACTCACAGAGATCCACCTGCCTCTGCCTTCTGAATGCTGGGATTAAAGGCATGCACACCACCGCGCGGCAACTCTATAGCTTTTAAACGTTAAACACAGTGCATGGAATAACATGTTCTTCCTTTCGTCAATTGTCACAATTCTTTTCTTGTTTCTTTTCCCCACATGACTTTTAGACTTATTTTAAACAGAGAGTGTAATGAGAATACATCTCCGATTGTACATTCTATCAGTGACGTTACAGGCACCATATAAAAGCTTCTTATTCTCAGATCTTACAGCACATCAGGAGGCAGCCGTGCCTACCACAGCCCCTCCAGTGCCAGGTGATACCGCACTTAGACGATAGAAGAAGTCACACTGGCAAGCTTATGCAGGGATAACAGTGAGAATTTATTAGTGACTCAAACCAGGTTGTTGAGACTTGCTTAGCTTCTTGGAGAAATGGCTAGCTCACCCAATCTGCTACTCAGTCGGTGGGAACTGTTCAGTGGTCTCTTATGCTGCTTTTCATTTCTCCTTCTACTGGGAATTAAACGTGGGACTTTGCATATGCCTGGGGGTGTTTGCCAATGAGCCACATCTCCCGTGACCTAGTGCGGCAACCCTTAGCATCTGATACAAGGCAGAGGCATATCACCTATAACTTGTCTCTTAGTGGATTGTTGCGAATTCTAATAGCTAGTTTTTGCATTTAACCACAGAAACAAGGACATATTTTATCATCCATATTTACCATCCATAAAATACCACTGTATTTTAAACTATCGGTGGAATTATTTTTAAAAAATAAAATATAAAAAGTAATAAATTTATTTTAAATAGCAGTACAGAACAGTTTATTTTTGTTATCAGGGCCATGGCACTATATGAAAGGACACCATTATAATTTATAACTACCAATGAGCTTTGATGTCTTAACAATAATAATTTTATTTGAAAATTATTAATCATAACTGAGGATCCATAAGCACTCAGTTCTTTACGAGAGAGAGCTTCACTCGGTGCTGACAGCCGTGATTGTTAGTGGCGTGACTTAAAAATCATGGAAAGTTTTTCTTAGTTGCACATAAGCCAAAGGAATGCTACCGTGTACACTGACCACACAGCACTGTATTAAATGTGCAGGAGTGCCACAAGATGTCCTGACTCTGATTCCTTATAGTAATGGTCATGGTGGATGCTAGAAGCTGAAGGTAACATCATCTAGAAGTATACAAAAATCAAACCTTCCTTCTCCTCCTCCTCCTTCCCCTTCTTCTTCCTCTTCTTCTCTCCCCTCTCCTTTAGAGACAGAGATTTCGTGGTGTGTGTGTGTGTGTGTGTGTGTGTGTGTGTGTGTGTGTGTGTGTATGTGTGTGTGTGTGTGTGTGTGTGTAGTCCTGGCTGTCCTGGAACTTGCTCTGTAGATCAAACTGGTCTCAAACACAGAGATCCTCCTGCCTCTGCTTCCAGAGTGCTGGGATTAAAGGCATGTGTCTCCACTACCTGACTTAAATCAGGTATTTTTTTTCAATGTCATCTTAAAAATTTTCCATTAGTGATTCTTTTTGCCTAATATATTTTGTCTAGTTTTATTTATATTTTATGTAATGGGTGTTTGCCTGGATATAGGTATGTACATCACGTGCATGCAGTGTCCCCAGAGACCATAGGGGGCGATGAAGCTCAGGAACTGGAGTTGCAGGGGATTTTGAACTCCCTATGCATCTCTGGATGCCTGAGAGAGCATTGGATCTCCCAGGGTTGGAGTTACAAACTGTTTGGAGCTGCCATGTCAGTTCTGGGAACTGAACCTAGGTCCTATGCAAGAGCAGCCAGTGCTCTAACTCCTGAGCCATCTTTCTACCTCCAAGTTTTCTTAAACTTTTATTATTTTTAATTGTGTGTATCTGTTGTGGGGGATGTGCAGGTTCATGGAGCCAGAGGAGCTGGAATCATAGGTGGTCTGGGTGTCAAGCACCAAACTGTGGTTCTCTGGAAGAACATGCATGATCTTTTTGAAAAATTGTTTTTATTGCACTATACACTTTTGTCAGCTCCCCTTCTTTCCTCCACTCTCCCCTTCTACCTTCTCCCACGACCTCCATGCTCCCAGTTTACTCAGGAAATCTTGTCTTTTTCTCCTTTCTATGTAGATCCCTGTATGTCTCTCTTAGGGTCCTCTTTGTTGTCTAGGTTCTTTGGGATTGTGAATTGTAGCCTGGGTTTTCTTTGCTTTATGTCTAAAAGTCACTTATGAGTGAGTACATATTATATTTGTCTTTCTGGGTCTGGGTTACCTCACTCAATATGGTTTGTTTCTAGGTCCATCCATTTGCCTGCAAATTTCAAGATGTCATTATTATTTAGCATTGAGTAGTATTCCGTTGTGTAAATGTACCACATTTTCTTCATCCATTCTTTAGTTGAGGGGCATCTAGGTGGTTTCCAGGTTATGGCTATTGTGAATAACACTGCTATGAACATAACTGAACACATGTCCTTTAGTTATAATTGGGTATCCTTTGGGTACATACCCAAAAGTGATGTTGCTGGGTCTTGAGCATGCATGATCTTAACCATGGACCCAACTCTCTAGCCCCTTGCCTGAGAAAATTTTCATGAGACACCATGTTTATAAGCACATAAAATAAACACATAGATGAAACATTTACTGATAATGTGCCATGAGTAAATGAACCCAATTGTTTAGTATACATATAATTTTATTTACTTCTTATTATTGTGTGTGAGCATAGTAAGTGTGTGATCTGTCACAGGGCATTTGTAGAGGTCAGAACACAAGTCTGTGGAGTCAGTTCTTTACTTCCACTTTTATGTTGGTTCTAAACATGGAACTCAAGTCACTGGACTTGCACGGCTAGTAAGTTTACACACTGTATCATCTCACTGGCCCAATTCTACCATTTATTAAAAATAAATGCAATATGGTATACTAATGATATGGGAGCTCTTGAGATCACTATTTTGGGCAGCTGGAGATGGCTTAGTGGTTAAGAGTGTTTTCTGCTCTTGAGGAAGACCCATGTTCAGTTCTCAGCACCCGTGTTGGACGGCTCACAGTCTACTAACTGCAGCTTCAAGGGATCCGATGCCCTCGTTTAGCCTCTGTGGGTGCCTGCATACACACATGTAAAATAAGATCATTTTTGTATTGTACCATGTGGACTAAATTCAATTGTTTTCAGAACTGACTGATTTTTTGATTTTATAATCGCTAGTGCTGAGAATATCTCTTTTTACAAGACATAGTACAAAATGGCAAGAGCATGTTTAGAGCTGTTTTAGAAACTGTTGGAAAGTCTGCTCTAATCCTTTTTTTTTTGAGACAGCATTGGAGCCTATCCTGGAACTAGCTTTTGTACAGCAGGCTGGCCTTGAACTCATACAGCTTCGCCTGCCCCTGCCTCCAGGGATTAAAGGTGCACGCCACCACTGCCCGATGCATTTATGATGTTTTAAAATGAAACTCAAGTCAATAATTCAAAGAGCAGCTTTTAAAATCAAACATTCTAACCCAAGTCAAAGCAAATGTACTTGCTTAGCAATGATGGCAGGGAAATATTGCAAGTCTTTGTTTTCTGTAACTAAACCGTTATGTTTAATATGTACAACAAACACTGCAAATTTATATTATACTACTCTCTCTCTATATATATATATTGTGTGTGTGTGTGTGTGTGTGTGTGTGTGTGTGTGTGCATCTTGAATCTGGGCCGAGGTGTTCCAGGCAGTGTGCATTGGCCCTGTGTGACGAGAGCACACACACTGTAAAGTCACACTGTGCGTTCAGAACCAAGGCTACCGCAAAGCCGCTTGGTGCAACAGGGGTGGACAGTACAGAGACACCTTCCGGCTCACTACACATTTGGTTTTGAGTTTATTTTTAGTCATCAAATGTTCAGAAACCTTTTACTATTCCTTTTGTTGCTGCTGTTGCAACTTCGGGTCTGCAACCATCAGTTTAGGAAGCTCTTCCCCAAAGTCATTTGTGAGGATTATGGGTCTTTCAGAACTGGAGTTATTTCTTTTGTTGCCCTCGTTTGAAAAATAAAATCTTACAACCTTGCGCATCATTGCATGGCTCAAGCATTTGAAATATGACTCAATAGCATTTTCCTTTTCTTAATAATAATGGCATATCACCAGTCTAAAACATAGAATTTGCATATTCTAGGTCTCTTGTTCTCAGCAAGTTTATTCCATCAATACACTAATTTTATTTTATTTCTTAAGGAAGCCAAATTGTGTATCATTGGCAAATATGCTAGGTACATGTGGATGTACCAATGAGATGGATACCAATTGGCAAATGTGGGAAGCAATTCTAAATGCTGGGGGCAAGACTGTTAACGTCTTACCTCACTTGCCTGTGGTTAACAGTCTTCTGTGGCACTGACTCTCACACTCTTTTTCTGAGAAAGGTGACTTTTTGAACCTCACTAAAGAGCGGAAAGAAAGCGGTTTGTTACCTGTCGACACTGAGGGCACAGAGATTCAAGACGGTGATGCCCACGGATGACTTCTGCAGGAAGGGGAAGAGCTTGCAGAGAAATACCCCAAAATCGTTGTGGTCAGAAGGCCAGCGCCCCGCCAACAGCTGAAAAGATGAGACAGGAATAAGAAATGGCGAGGCTGGTCCAGCATGCACCCCCCCTCCCCGTGTGTCCCCAGAGAGACTGGCCCAGAATGCACCCCCTTGTGTCCCCAGAGAGGCTGGCCCAGAATGCACCCACGCTTGCGTCCCCAGAGAGGCTGGCCCAGAATGCACCCACGCTTGCGTCCCCAGAGAGGCTGGCCCAGAATGCACCCCCTTGCGTCCCCAGCTGCACTTTTACTATTGTGTGTGAACACGTAGCCAGATAGCAACAGTTTTCCCCTTTTAGCTTTCAAGTCCCCCCCTTTCCGAATAGCTTTCGAAAGAAGCTTTTCCTTCGACCCAGCCTCTTCCTCAAGCACTATAACCGTCTTAACCAGCTTATCAAATTTTCCGCAGAAAATTTGTCCAAGGACATCCACAGTCTTGCCACTAAAATGCTGTTCTGAACTCAGGTTCTTGGTGAACTTCATGAAAAATTCCGTAACTGTGGCTGCCTAGTGTCTGGTACATGTAAAGGCACGAGGCACTATTTCCGGACTACCTTTTCCGGACTATGAGTTTCGTGCTGAAGCACACTTGAAAAGACAAGGATCGTGGTTTTAACGGCAACTTGCTACAAACTAGAATCAGCTCAAAGAATGGGGGATCTTTCAGCTCGCTCTGTCTTAACAATAAAATAGGAATAAAAGGAGGGGGCACCATGGAAGCAAGCAGTGCAGTGCACAGCTTCCTGGCTTTTCTTTTGTATTACATTTATTTATTTATTTACTTATTTATTTATTTATGTGAATGTGTGTGTTTGTGTGTGTGTGTGGTGACAAAAGTGTGGAGATCAGAGCTGGTTGTCTCTTTCCATCCTGTGAACCCAGGGAATAACTCAGGTCTGCAGGCTTTGAGGTAAACACTGTTGCCACTAAACATACTTTTTCTTTCTCTCTCTTTCCTTTCTTCTTCCCTCCCTCCCTCCCTCCCTCCGTCCCTCCGTCCCTCCCTCCTTCCCCCTTCCCTCCCCCCTCTCCCCCTCTCCCTCTCTTTCTTTCTTTCTTTCTTTCTTTCTTTCTTTCTTTCTTTCGCTCTTGGGGTTTCTGATGAGTGCCAGAGATACATCTTTCTTCTTATTTACTAACACGTAAAATTAAAAATAGAATATTTTAAGATGGTGAGAATTAAGCTGTATTACATTTAGGCAATGACAACCAAACCAAATGACAAGTCCATCAGGTCTCCAAGTTTCCCACCTAAAGGCAACCCTTCCTGATAGCTATGTGGTTTCTTACAGAAAACTTTCAATGCAATATAGTCTTTGTCCTTTTCTTAAACAAACAGGAACATATGCAAAAATAATTTTAAAAGTTCAGTGTGTTTTCTTTTTCTGGAGCAATTTAATGGAAAGCACTATTACTTAAGAATAAGGTCTTGGGCTTTAAAAGGGCTTGGATGAAACAGTTTTCGCAAGGACCACACTTGATTAGCAGCTATTTAGTATGATATCTCGGCCACGGAAAAGTAACTGCTGATTTCTTTAATGTTCACAAGCAAAGATCAGCGCCACGACAGAAACAACAAACAAACTGTCAAGTCGAAGTGACTCAAAGGCTCATTTGGAACATGGGAGCCATAGCTTATTTTTATACCATAGAAAGGCCTGTGTTATGAAAGCCTCACGTCGTGTCTCTTTGAGAACAGTGTGTGCTGCTAATGTGAGAATCCCTGCCATCTGAGCACATACTATCAATGCTATATTATTTTGGATTGCTATAATTTGTAAACCCAAAATAAATGCATGTGCCATTTATGCATGACTTTCGTGAGAAAATGAGTAATCTGAGTAACTGTGCGCCTGCTTTCTGACTCCAGATCTTACTTCCTGCCCCACTGAATCTCGTCACTCAGGCCCTGGTTTGTCATTGTCACCACAGCTTAAAGCTGCACTCAGAAACCAGGAGCAGCTTTTCCTTTGTCCTGATTTCCCCCCACCCCTCTGGTAAAGCCGGGAGATTTTCCCTTTGTCTCACCACGCCCATCCTAGACAGGAATGAAGGATTTATGGACATAGTCTGCAATACTTAAAACCTCACCATTAAACCTCACCATTTAAAAAATGTTCACTTCCCCTGGAACATGCATTGTTGTGGGTCACTTGGAACCAGACAGACTCTAGTCCTTGAAGAGCAGGGACTGACTTGTTTCTCTCTTGCCCTCCACTCCTCTTTTTCCCTCTCCTCCCTTCCCCCTCCTCTCCTCCCCACCTCCCTTCTCATCCCCTCCTCTCCTCTCCTTCTTTCCCCCTCCCTTCTTCTTCCCTCCTTTCCTCCTCTCCCCCCTCCTCTTCCTCCTTCCTTTCCCTTGTCTCCTTTTTCTTTGCTTCCCTCTCCTTCCACTCTTAGAGTCAGGATATACAGGTTGTTACACTATCAAGTCGTCGAAAGATTATGGCCCCACTAGCACAGACTAAGATGATTTCAAAGCCTGTGATCCCACGACAGTGCTTTTGGCGAGAATATGAGTTCTGGCTATCTCCACTCTCCGGTCAGAAGCTCCAAGATCAGTTGCTCTCATGACAAGAAAGGTTCTTGCCCCTCCATTATGTTTTAACTGCCTCTGGACTGAGGCAGAGCTCACACAAATGTAGTAAAAGCTGGCATCTGTGCCATCCACACACAGTTCTTCGTCAAGGTTCCAATTGCCTCCCATGGTATGTGACATTCAGAGAAGGGGCTGAATGGTCTGGCTTTGGGTACTTTCAGTGACACGGGGGACAGAGGAAGCTTCCTTTCAGCTGTGGACCAGGTCTGACTTGTGCCTTCTCTGACCCATGGCTCAGGCACACTGGATCATTCTTCGTCTTCTCATGTCTTCCTCTATAAATGATGGCGACTCTGGTAGCCGCCTCAGAGGACTAATTGCTACAGACAGCAGCAGAGATAACAAAGAGCTTGGCACAAGGAATGGTCTAGAAACGTGAACTGTAGTCACTGATGACTTTCGGCCAGCTCTATGTTTTGGTCTCATTTTGCTAAGGAGGTTGTCTAGCGTATGTTACTGGGACAAAATATCTGAGACAATCAAACTTAAGGGTGAGGCTTCATGTTTTAGAAGTCTGTGACTGCCCAGCCTCATAGTCTTTGGGCCTACGAGGCAACACTTCATGGCAGGGAATGTGTGCTGGAGAGATCTGCTTACCTCATGGTATCCTGGAAGCAAAGGCAGAGGAAGAGGAGGGGGCCAAAGTTACACAGTCTTCTTCAAGGACATGCCTCCAATGACCTAACTTCCTTCTTCCAGACTTTTCCTTTAAAGGCTCTACCATCTGATAGTGTCATGGACTGGGAACTAAGCCTTCAATGCTTTTGTGGAGCAGAAGGTGGAGGAAGAGTGGGCAGGTACCTGGTACAGAGTCACAAGACCCCCATTCTCAAGGAATCTACTGTCTAGAAGACAGGCAGAAGTCATGGCACCCGAAGCTCTAAGCTACAACACCTCAACAGAAGGAGCCATGTGATCTCACACGAAGAGCACACGCCCCTGTTCCTCGATGGAAACTGTGAATAAGAGAGCACCTGCACCGTGTGGCTGGTGTCCATGACTGCTGTGGGTAAGAGAGCACCCGCACCGTGTGGGTCAGAGAGCACCCGCACCGTGTGGATCAGAGAGCACCCGCACCGTGTGGGTCAGAGAGCACCCGCACCGTGTGGGTCAGAGAGCACCGCACCGTGTGGATCAGAGAGCACCCGCACCGTGTGGATCAGAGAGCACCCGCACGGTGTGGGTCAGAGAGCACCCGCACCGTGTGGATCAGAGAGCACCCGCACGGTGTGGGTCAGAGAGCACCCGCACCGTGTGGGTCAGAGAGCACCCGCACCGTGTGGGTCAGAGAGCACCCGCACCGTGTGGGTCAGAGAGCACCCGCACCATGTGGGTCAGAGAGCACCCGCACCGTGTGGGTCAGAGAGCACCCGCACCGTGTGAATCAGAGAGCACCCGCAGGGTGTGGCTGGTGTCCATGACTGCCGTGGCAAGGTGCGTTGTTCAGGATGTGAAGCACAGGAGGGTGAACAAGGTGGGGTCTGAAGGTTGAAGGTTTGCCTTATTCCTCTGACTTGTGTTGGAAGCATAGAATCATTGCTACTATTCTTTTTAACTGTTTCTGTGGGGTTTTTTTTTTTTTGACTGAGGCCTTTAATTTCTGTAATCTGAAACACATAGACGTTAATACTAACCAGAAGGAAGAGGGGTTAGAAGAGAAAGAAATGATTTTTTGTTGTAGTTGTTGTGAGCCATCTCTGCAGCCCAGAGGATGGTTTTTAAAGACAGATCCAATGTTAGGTGTGATGGCGCACACCCTTAGTCTCAGCACTTGGGAGGCAGAGGTAGGAGAATCTCTGTGAGTTCGAGGCCAGCCTGGTCTACAGAGTGAGTTCCAGCACAGCCAGGGTTACACAGAGAAACCCTGCCTCAAAAACAAAAAACAAAACAAAACAAAAGCAACCAAACATAAAAACAAAACAAAACAAAACAGAGTTCCAGAGGATTTTCTACCCTAGAGGCTTCTCATACCACAGTATCATCTCCTGAAGGGTAGGAACCAGAGTCTTTTCTTGAGTAACACATTCAAAGAAATGGACACAGAACCAAAGGACCCAAGACTTCCTAGATTGCAAACATAAAACCAAAGGATCACTGAGTGGAAAGAATATAATTTTAAAGCAGAAAAAAATGAGCTATTGTTAAGAGTGAAATTTTACTATGTAACAACGAGTGTGTGGCCAGCAATTGGCAGCTTAGTCCTGAGCAGAGGTTCATGTGGCAAAGTGAATGAGACCTGACTGCCGACTGGAGAAGGGATTCCAAGCTGTGACTGGAGACCGGTGATTTGTTGTAATAAAAGATGAGCAGAATTACTGACAGTCAGTGCCTTGAGGAGGATGTGTAATAAGGCCTAAAACCTAATGGAAAATTTTAGACTTCCTTGTAATCCTAAGCCTCTGTGATAGGACCCT